AGAGAAATGTTATATTTATTAGTCATTTTGGTTTGTGTAGATGTTATGGTATTAATCGGTGTATCAAAATAGATGGAATCTATCTAGGATTAATTACTCCATTCTTTCCATTGGTAGGACACACTTAGAACTGAAGAGGATATTGTAAAGTATGTATATGTATTTTACATGTGTATTTTATAAAAACAATTTGCCTTCAGATTCTGCTGCTGTTTTGAAAAAAAAAAAAGATTAAATGAAGTAGTAGAGGATAAAGAAAGAGTTTGCTTGATTGGCTTTAGTATTTCTATCAGGTTTCTAGGTTAAGTGGAGTTTTAACCTAAGTGTCATTGCAAAAAATTTTTTGTTTCTTTTTTTTTCTATTTTTTTTAATAATTCCTTATTGTTGAAAGTATTATATATTTTATATAATATGTCTCCCCCTTTCCCCCATTAGCCAGGTAGGTGAAATATTGCACCACTTTCTAGCGTGTGGTGTGTGGACAATGTCTAACTATATAGCATATAGGAAGGTGGGCAGACGACTGAGCCATATACATTATCTTTGATTAAATTGAGTAAATGTGGAGGTTATTAACATTTTTGAGGTTAGAATAAAATTTATAAAAATACCATCTAAGAAATTGGAGGACTTTTCATCAAAGACTAAGGCAATGAATCGCTAACTATAAAAATAACATCTATCCTCAAGTGACTTAAAATCAGGGAACAAAAAATTACTGGTATGTATTGCATAATTTAAACCTCTGCAATAGTTTTGTTTTCTTTAAAGTTTTATGCTATTTGACTTAAGTGCTAGGAGAAAAAACAAACTTTAAGGTCTTTTTTCACATTACTTAATCATGAGAACATACGTATATAGTCTTACTGGATAAACTACTAAATGATAATGAGGATAATAGCAACACCACCTAATGAGAGTTTAGCATGTGCTGTGCTAAACATATAATAGGAAGAGCCTCATTCAGTTCTCACAGCAGTGCTCTCACAGGTAGTAATATTGTCCCCACTTTGTACAGATGATAACTGAGACATGCAGCAATGAACTTCCCCAATGTCACATGGCTACTCGATGCCAGAGCCAAGCTTCAGCTTTAGTGGGCTCTAGAACTAACTCTTTTCTGACTCCACTGCCTGGGACTGGTAATTGATGTATTATGCGTGGATACTGGCCTGTACTCTATAAAATGATTGGCCATTTATAAAAAAATAATTTTATGGAGCACTTGATCTTTCTATTACCCAATAAGTGAAAAACACTCTTTTTGCTACTTTGGTGAAGACATATTTTTTTATGTGTGTGTTTTTGGTGAGGTTTCCCTCCTTCCCCCCTCTCTTCAGACTTTTTTTTTTCTTTTGTGTGTTTGTGATATTTATTTATTCATCCATTCTTCAATTACCGTTGTCATTCAGTATTGTTTTGTGTGAGTTTCAGGTGTAGAGCATAGCGGCCAATCGTATGCTTTGCAAAACAATCCCCCCAATATTTCAAGTACCCACCTGGCACCGTACATTATTACAGTGTTGTTGACTGTAGTCCCTGTGCTATAATTGGCATGACCACGACTGCTTTGTGACTGATTTGTACTTCTGAACCCCTTTATCATTTTTATCCAGCTTCCTAATGGCCAACCGCCATCTTCTTGGACAACCATCAGTCTGATCTCTCTCTGAGTCTGTTGCTCTTTTGTTTGTTTATTTTGCTCTTTGAATTCCGCATAAAAGTGAAATCGTGGTATTTTTCTTTCTCTCTCTGATTTATTTCACTTAGCATCATACCCTCTAGTTCCATCCATGCTGTCTCCAATGGTAAAATTTCATTGTTTTTTATGACTGTAGAGTATTCCATTGTAGGTACAGGAGTGGGCGAAAGTGGATTTACATTTGTTCGTATAGAAAAAAAAATACACAATAATAATAATAGGAGAATAAACTTTGTCTTTTGCATACTCACAATAAACCTGTGCTTGCCCACCCCTGTGTGTACCACAGCTTTTTCATCCAGTCATCTATTGATGGGCACTTGGGTTGCTGCCATATCTTGGCTGTTGTAAACAGTGCTGCCATGAACAGGGGGCTCAGTAGTGTCTTGGGTTTTGGTGGGATATGTACCCCAAAATGGAATCCCTGGCTCATAAGACAGTTCTGTTTTTGATTTTTTTTAAAATATATTTTATTGATTTTTGTACAGAGAGGAAGGGAGAGAGATAGTTAGAAACATCGATGAGAGAGTCATCTATCAGCTGCCTCTTGCACACCCCCTACTGGGGATATGCCCGCAACCAAGGTACATGCCCTTGACCGGAATCGAACCTGGGGCCTTTCAGTCCTTAAGCCGACGCTCTGTCCATTGAGCCAAACCGGTTCCGGCCATTTTTGATTTTTTGAGGAAATTCCATACTGTTTTCCACGGTTGCTATACCAACCTGCTTTCCCACCAGCAGTTGCACAAGGGTTTCCTTTCTCCACATCTGCACCAGCACTTGTTGTTTGTTGATTTATTGATGATAGCCATTCTGAGGAGTTGCGGGGATCTATCATTGTAGTTTCAACTTGCGTTTCTCTGATGATTAGTGACATTTGAATGTTTTTTCATAGGTCTTTTGGCCATCTGTATGTCCCCTTTTGAAAAGTGTTTATTCAGGTCCTCTGCCCATTTGTTAGATTATTGGTTTTAAGTTGTATGGCTTCTTTATAAATTTTGGATATTAATGCCTGACCAGATATAACAATGAAGAATATCTTCTTCCATTCTTTAGGCATTTTTTATTTCATTTTGTTTATGGTTTCCTTTGCTGTACAAAAACTTTTTAATTTGATGGGACCCCTTTTTGTTGTTGTTTATTTTCCTTACCAAGGATATGTATCAGAAAAAAATATTGGTAAGAGAAATGTCAGAAATTTTACTGCCTATGCTTCTCGTAGTTTCATGGTTTTGAGTCTTAATTTAATCCATTTTGAGTTTATAATTATATATGGTGTAAGAAAGTGGTCTAGTTTTTTTTTTTTTTTTTTGCATGTATCTGTCCTATTATTGAATAGACCTTCTTTACCCTATTGTGTGTTCTTGCCTCCTTTAAGAATAAACTATTCTTAAGTCAAAGGGTTCCCAAAAAATTGCCTTCACATATGCTTGAATGTGAACTTGATTGACTTCATTATTCTAGATACCCTTATAGTGATGTAGAAAATAATTTTGACAAATCTAATTAACTATATCACATTTCCTTGAAGTGACATATGCACCAAACTATTTTATCCAGATTTTTTGTTTAATGAATGAAAATTACTTAAAGACATTTTGGTTTTGTCATTTATTTTATAGAAATGAATGTGCACATGAGTATGCATATGTCTAGTCTCTCTGATTATCGAGTCATAAAATTATGTAAGCTTTTAGAAATAAACTTTCTGTATTTGTAATAATTTTAGTTTTAAAGAAACATTGCAAAGATAGTATAGAGGTTTCATATACCCTTCATCAAACCATAAGACGCTTTTTCTAATTCAAAAGAGTTGGTAATATTTTGTTTGCTGGTCAGTTGATAATCTATATACCCTACAGGATTCAAAACATTCATATTTATTTGATGCGTTTAAGTATAAAATGGCATGTACTTAGCTAAATTATTGGTGTGGGTTTTTTTTAGCTTCCCAAAATATAAAAAACTAGATTGAATTTCTTTTGACCTTCAGCCTGCCATTAGTTAAAATATTGTTTAAAAAAAATAAGTCTGCTACTTGCTATATATATGTAGAGAAAATTTCAGTTACTTGAAGTTTATCAAGAATTGAATGATTATTTTATCATTTAAAGTTAAATTGATTTTCTTCAAAATGTCTAATTATGTATGCTTTTATTTGAAAATCCAATATGAAAGACATGTAGTGAGTATTTTAGCTATAGATGATTATATACTTGTGAAGTTTATTTTCATGCCTATATAAAAATATACAAAAGCTTCCATGTCATTTCCATGAACATGTTATTTGGAGATTAGCATTCCTACATCAGCTTTATTATTATATTACCTGTTTTCTCAAACTTGCATTTTGACAAGCATAATAAGGACAGTATTTCACTTAAAGTGGAACTTTATTTTCTTTTTTGTAAAGCATGTTTGGTCCACTGAATATTTGAATCCATTCTAATGATTCTCCCTTGCTTTCACCCATGTCAAATCCATGTGATCTAATTTTTGTGAAAAACTTTAAAGTACATGTATATGATGTACTTTAAAAATTAAAAAAAAATTCTTTTTTTAATAAATACTATAGTATTTATTGCCATTTTATTGTTCATATATTCTTTTTTTTTTTTTCTGCTTAAAGAAGATGCTTTAATATGTTATATAATACCGGTTTGGTGGTGATGAACTCCTTTCTTGTCTGGGAAACTCTTTATCTTAACTTCAATTCTAAGTGATAGCTTTGCTGGGTAGAGTAATTTTGGTTGTAGGTCCTTGCTTTTCATCACTTTGAATGTTTCTTGCCGCTCCCTTCTGGCTTGCACAGTTTCTTTTGAGAAATCAGCTGACAAGAAGTAATTGAGTGTGAGAACTGGTTAGCCACACAGTAAGGCTCACTCTCAATGGAAAGGAGGTCGAGTCAAAGCTGGGTTGGAAAATTTTATTTTCCTAACCTTTTATTTTTTAAACTACCAGTTTGACTCTTGAAAGAAAAACTACCAGTGCAATTTGTTTTCTGTAAATAAAATATACCCACGGAAATTCCTGCAGTGATCCTGCTGGAAACGGTGTTTCCAAACACATTGTGTAATGAAATCATTCAAATCGCGTCAGCTTTAAGCATACGAGGCATGTAGGCCAAGACCCAGCCCTCTTTTTGTTTATTTTCTAGACGTGACATGCTTAGCCTTTTAAAGCTGAGTTTGTAAAGAAGCCAATAGAAGGGGCATAGCTAACTTCTACTCCTTATAATGACATTATGGTGCTCATGTGCTTTCCTCCTCTCTCCACTGCTTTTTATCCTTTTTATAGATGCACATCGGGAATTCCTTCACAGGCCTGCTTCTGGATATGTGCCAGAGGAGATCTGGAAGAAAGCTGGTAAGAATTGTTTAAAAACACGAGTTCGGTGTTCTGGCAGCTGTGTGCAGTTGTTAAATGCGGTGATGTGAAGACTGACAAGAAGGGACTTTACCACTAACAACAACCACCTCCACCACAACACAATGCAAAATGCCCCCCAACAAAACACAACGCAAAAATCCCGATTAATATTCTCACACGAGGCTCGATTGGAACCTGCGATAGTTTTTATTTTAGTAGCATTTGCTAGGGGCGCTGTAATTGAGAGGCTGGCAATATTTTCATGATAAACCCCTGATTTTCAGGGACTGTGATAGTTTATTTCATGCAATATTTTCTTAATGGGAAAAAAAAATCTGGAGTTTTCTAATTTAAATTGTGTACTTTTAGGCTTTTCCTCTGAATTTCTAAATTTTAAAGAAGACCACATCAAAACTAACAGTCTTGTTGAGACACTCAGAAATGTTATGAGTGTTTAATTGGTTATTACCATGACATTTGATTATGGTATAACCAATTGTTATAACCAATTGTGGATCTTCTGAGCTAATTAAGAATATTCAGTAATCACAGCTACCTATTTTTTAAGTTAAATGGCAATGTTGCTAACCTCCTGCTATTTTTTTTTCCATTTGATTTTCCTTAAGAGCTATTGCATACACTTGGAATTAGATTGAAAGTTCCTGTTGACTCATTGACGTATTTGGCTTAAAGCAACTCAGATTGGGCAGAATCTCCGTGCAACACCAACACGATAAAAGTTGAGCAAAAATCTTACAGAAACATACTCAGGAGATGAAGCATCAACCTGTTTCAAGAGTTAAAGATGACATGACAAACACACAGTGTGGCTCGGAGCTGCTGTGATTCCAAACGTTAAAATAGCTTTTTGAGCTGAGAAACTGAAAACTGTTATTTCTGCAAGCAGTCAGATGGGTATAGGGCTAGTGACCCTAGCCAGAGAGCAAGAGTTAAGGGAAAGGGTTTCCTGTTTTGTTTTTTATAAAAGTTTCCTCTTTCGGTTTTTATTTGACTCAGATGTGTGTGTAGTTCTATGCAACTTGCTGATCCTGGTCTCTTGGCTTTTAGCCAAGTGTTGTTGTTTTTTTTAATAGATTTTCTAAGAAATAGCTGTATTGTTTTGTTTTCCAGAGCAATAAGGAGTTTAAAATCTGATCGTATTCTAGGCTTAGTAATGTAGATTGAGAACCAGAAAAGTCTCTTGCATGTCAGCATGCAAATTAGACAGACCCATCCAGCTTGAAATGAAGGTCAGCTGTTTATCCCGCTCATAGTCTTCCGAGATTTATGGCATCGCCTCTGAGATGTTCTGTGTAAACAGCAGAGACGGGACCCTCCTGAACTGTCACAGTGTGCTGGGTGCCATCTCTCTGGAAAAAAGAATCGCCACATCTTCCCTCTGGCCATTTTTCTCCCCCATTTTAAGCTGTCAGTGCGACTGATTCCAGTACGAGGTACAAAGGATTCCTGTTTTATATGGCAGAAGGATGGCTTTTTACTTGCATTTCCCTTATTTAGATGAGATCCTCTATAGCTCATAAAGAAAACCTGACAACAAAGCCTTGTGTAATCCGAATTCCTTCTGTGCTGTGACGTGCTCCCTTCTTTGTTTGCCTGCTATTAAGTGGGAGCAAATTTCTCCTCCTGACCCGGCCACCTTTGTAGGGAAGTCAGCTGGAGTGGCTATGCACACAGGCAGTCCTACCGTAAGGGGTAAGCAATTGGAAGCAGGTCCCAGATCCCATTGTCCATATCACTGAAAATGGATGGTAGTGATAGTAGCCCAACCGTGACTATACTGAAAATATTGAACTGTAAGTTTTAAATGAGTGAATTCCATAATCTGTTAATTACATAACAACCAAATGGTTACTTTAACAAAAAGACAAACACTGCACTATGCATTGTCCACTTAGTCAGTTTTTTTTGTAGACATGTTGTCATCCGCGGAGTTCCCTATGATTTATTGTCGGTTTTGTGGGTTTCTATAACCAATTCTGGATACAATTTCCATTGTGAAGGCTTCAGGAGTAGAGGAAGATAAACACCTGTGTATGGTGTCGATGCCTGCTCTAAGAGTAAAACTTGATTAAGTAAATGTTTGGAATATGAGGTATATTAGGTCTTCAGTCTAATATGATATCCCTAATAAGCATAGGAATAGTTTACAAATAGTTTCTATGGCTTGATGCTACAAGTTAAGGAGTGTATTAAATTCCCATAGTATAGATGACAGTTTCACCTTGAAATCTCAAATAACTGCTTATAATCTTCATAGGCATCTTAAAAAGCATGCCTAGTGTTAGCAGAGTCCAGGCATCCAATGTAATGAAAACACAGAAGTGCTTCTGTGCTCAGCTTGTTACAATTTGAAAGTTTTTTTCCCCAGGATTCTGAAATTTTCTGTGGGCAAATTATTATTATTATTTTTTTTTTAGAGACAAACCTATAAAGTGTGTCTTTGCAATTAAAAAATATTTTACATTACCTTTGTGACAGTTGGTAAAAAATACAATAAAGTTGAAAGCATTTGAAAAAATATCCAGGGCAGAGCTCCCAAAAGTCAGAGTAGTATAACCACAATGATAGTGGCACTATAACCACATCCATATATCCCTGCTCCCCTTTCACAGAAAATTGTAATTGCAAAAAGCCTCTCTTGTACTTAAAGGCACAGCATATAGTAGCTTCCGCCGTTTTATTTCGAAATGATGTCGAACGTGCAGAAAGTTCTAGGAATTATTATTAAAAAGTTCTCTTAAATCTTTCACCCAGTTTTCCCTATTTTACTGTATTTGCTTTACTATTTTTTCTCTCTTTTCCTCTTTCCTCCCTTCCTTTTTCTGTTCATCATATTATTCCCCCCCAAAACATACACACTCTCTCACACACACACACAGACACACAGACACACACACACACACACACACACACATACCATTTATTAGCATGTATTTCCCAATATATTAGCATATATTTCCTAACAGGACATTCTCTTCTATAACCACAACACGGTTACCAAAATGAGGACAGAGACATTGGTACATCACTGTTATTTAATCTACAGACTTCATTTAAAATTTTTATGTTGCTCAATAATACGGCACAACATATAACAGTATACATTTTAAAGTATTGGAATCTTATCAAATGCTGAAGGTCCCATCAATTTCCCCCTCAAGTAGTATTTTTTAAAAGCAAAGGAAACCAAACATACTTTAGTGTTACAAAAGCTCTTTATAAAATTGGAACAAATCTAACATAAAGATGGCTCTTAAATTGCAACTGAATGTTTTCTTCAGTATATATATGTTTATGTATCTTTTCAACTGATCAGTGAATGTTTGCCATTGGTAATAAATATTCAAGCACCTTGAAAATGTCCTACCAATTCTCTTTGCTGATCTGTAGATGCCTGTGGGATTAGAATAGGAATGCATAATTTAAATACAAATTGCCTGATTTGCATATACAATTAGTCAAGCTACCGCTTCGATGGTAAGCAAAAATTATTGTCCTGTATTGCCGCTCAGATAGAATTTTAATTCGCTTTGAATATTCAAGCTCCAGGAGACCCTGGCTGCATGGTTAGGAGGGCAGTTCTTCCCTGGCGCCCCACGGCATTTCTGATAGAGTAATGAAGGCATTTTTTTTTCCTGCCTGTTCCTGAAGATGGTGCAGCAAGCTCTGCAGTGCTGTTTCCATTCAGGGCTTCATTGCCTATCTTCAAGCAGCCAATAAAAGCTTAAGGCATTTTACTTCATATTTACAGTCTGGCTCTCGCCCCTTACATGTTAGTTTCTAAAACCCATCAGCCACTAATCACCAATGGATGAACTTCAGGAATAACGGTGCTCACACGAGGAAGGCAGCAGAAGTCATGACAGTTAATTACCAGTGGAGGGCTCTTGACGATGCTCGAGTCACGGGCTGTAGATGTGTGAAATAAACCATACACAGTGCAGGAGCCGGAGGAGTATTCGCACCGCTTACGTTTTTAATCTACAGTAAAACATTTTTATTAGGAATCTATGTTTTTAATTAAACAGAACATTTAATTAAGGTGCTTTTTAAGTGGGTGAGACAATTAAGTGCGAGCACTTGAAACATGTCATAATTAGTTTTAATAGAGTGTTAATTGGTACTAGGTTTGCCAAGTTAATAATGACTCCTTATTAAATTTTCAATTAATCATTGTCATTTTGCTTTGAATGGAGATGAAAATTAGATAAACTAATTCAGGGGGAGGATGTTTTCCCCTGTTAATTAGAACAGTTAATTTTTTTTTTTAAATGGAAACGACTTGTTTTAAGTTGTCAATCTTGAGTTGTACATTAGCCAAATCTTTGCACACTTTCCACAGCTAAATAAGAAGGCGAACTGGACTCCTCGCAGGTTTGTGGTCAGGCCTGTGTTGAGATGTGATTCCGTTCTGATTGTCCAGTGCAACAGTTGGTTATGTGAAACTGGGCACTCATTTGATTAACTGGCTAGACAAACAGCTAAAATTTGTGAGAAAACGATTTTTAAAAATCTCTGTCAGTTAGTCTATAAAGGTACACATCTCTATTACTCAGGAGATGATTAAAGAAAAAGAAAAGCTGAATCATCTGTCTGTTTCATCATCGATCTTCTTTAAAAGGTCTGCACTAACTTAATTGCTATCCGAAGAACCTTTTTACTATTGTGCTTTGTTTTTTTACCACCAAAACAGGTGTTTTTCCTTAAATACCTGTATGTGTAAAATGCATTTCCTTTCTTTTTTTCTGAAAACTTCCCTCATGTACTTTTCAATGTTTGAATTGATCTATAGCCATGATCTTCAACCTTTTTCATATCGTGGCATACATAAACTAATGACCAAATTCTGGGGGGAAAAAAAAAATTAGGCATAAGGCATGATGTTGATTCATTCACACCAGTGACTATTGTGTTAGCTGTTGTCATGTGAAAAAATGTTATTTGGCAATCTAATGGAAAAGGGGCCAGTGCCCCTGACTCAATAGTCAGGTATTACACGTTTTAACGATCCTTAGGGCACTCCAGTAGCCTGTAGCCTGGTGGCAAGCCGCCTTCTTCATGTGTGTGAATTATCTGGACAGTTTCCTCATGGTTCTGTCCTTTAAATGCTTAGCCTGGTCTCACAACCCTCTCTGGAGCTACTAGTGGTGGTAGGAAAGTTTGTAGAAATGATAGAAGTAGTTTACAAAAATAGTCCCGAGTTCGTTTCTGATCAAGGGCATGTGCCCAGGTTGTGGGCTCGATCCCCCAGTAAGGAGCACGCAGGAGGCAGTCGATCCATGATTCTCTCTCAGCGTTGATATTTCTCTCTCCTCTCCCTTCCTCCCTGAAATCAATAAAAATATATTTAAAAAAAAATATCCCTAGAAATGCAAGTCCAAGTCCCAGCCGTGGCTTTCCTAAGGAGTTTCAGGCACCTGCTGTGTGGGCAGGTGGCCAGAAGCGCTGCCCCATATGTGGGGAGTGACACCCCCGCCTGTCCTATGGGATCCCCATTGGGCCCTGAGCTAACGGAGAATTATTTGTTCTCTTGTCCCCGGGGTCCGGGCCTGCAGAGGAGGCGGTGAACGAGGTGAAGCGCCAGGCCATGACGGAGCTGCAGAAGGCTGTGTCCGAGGCCGAGCGGAAAGCCCACGACATGATCACCAGCGAGCGGGCCAAGATGGAGCGCACGGTGGCCGAGGCCAAGCGACAGGCGGCGGAGGACGCACTGGCCGTCATCAACCAGCAGGAGGACTCCAGCGAGGTGAGCGGGAGCCCCGACGGCCACAGGGGGCTCCGCCAATGAGAGCACCCAGTCTCATTTATTTAAATTCTTTATTGGTGGAAATATTGCATCTGTCTCCTTTTTCCCCCCCTGGACCTCTCCCCGTCCCCCCCCCCAGCCCATACCCTGACCTCCTACTGTTGTGTCCATGGGCCATGCTTCTATGCACAGAGGATACAAGTCCTTTGGTTGATTTCTTACTCCCACCCCCTCTCCTCTGCCTTTCCCGTGAGGTTTGACTGTCTGTCCTGTGCTTTTATATCTCTGGATCTCTTTTGGATCATCAATTTATGTTGTTCGTTATATTCCACGAATGAGTGAGCTCATGTGGTGTTTCTCTCTCTCCAACTGGCTTATTTCGTTTAGCGCGATGCTCTTCACATCCATGCTGGTGCAAATGGTCAGACTTCTTTCTGGAATGCTCAGTTGTGATCCAGGAGGTCACAAGTCAAAGCAGCTCCTGGACTGAGACCCACAAATCTTTGGGGTGAAACTTAGGATAGTCAGGGGAGTCCTGGCACTTGTGGAATTAGTTGAAAGCTGATCAAATTTTCCCTTTAGTAGAGACCTAAAAGAACAACTCGGCCAAAGGAAATATTTAATGTATTTGCGAGGTACAGATTGAAGTGAAATTCTTATGACTCCCCAGCCCCATTTGGAGACTCAGCACTCAGCTGTGTGGGACAGCATGTGCACGAGGCTTCCATCCAAAGGCAGAGCTTTCACAGCCATACCCTGTGTCTGCTGTTCTCCAAACACACACGACATGCTCAGGATCAAAGTCATTTCCTTAACTACTGGTCCTAAATCCAATGCTAAACCCATGTTTGCCTCAATTAAACATTTCTAAGACATTTTCTGCTCCTCTGTTTTTCCACATTATTTCTAATAACTATTAAGATCATTTTATTAGGTGACATCACCGAAAGGGGTAATGTTGTTTTGTATTGTTGCAGGACAGTGGTCGGCAAATTGCAGCTCACAAGCCCTGGTTTGCCACTCTGTTGACTAATGAGTTTGCCGACCACTGTTCCAGGATATTAAAACACACACACACACACACACACACACACACACACACACACACACACAGCCTAAATGGCTCAAGGATCTGGGAAGTACACAGACTCTAACAGATTGTTTTCAAAAATGGTCTGTAAGTCAGAGCATGTGGCATTACTCTGCATTGATACAGCACCACCATGCCCAACCCCAAAGTAAGTGAGCAGAAAGGACAGTTAACTGAACTCGCACAACCGTGAGCTGATAAAACGATGGTCGACCAGGATACATATCTGTAATTTGGGAGGGAGAGTAAGAACTTAATTTGTACCAGGCCTCTCTGTAGATGAAAGACGCTGTGGGAATCCCTCGGTGCCCAGAATTTGTATTTAATGTGTAGCAGATGAATATTAAGAGGACAAAAGGAATTGATTTCCAGCATTTGAAAGTTTCTCGGGAAAAGAGGGACAAAGGGAAGTTTATCTACCCTTCAATGGCGGACTTTTTCGTTATTAAGTTAACCTGGACATAAATTCAGTGTTATTGACATCTGTGGCCAAGATATTTAAGGACCTTGTTTTGCGCTTTAAAAAAGAAAATCTTTCGCATCTTTTGGAGAGAATTTGTCTCGCTCTGTTCAAGTCACTAATGCTGGGAGGCACAGTTGTTGGCGTTATTAAAACATGGTCACTTTCACAGGAGTGTTTCAGGTCTGTTGTTTAGGTTGAGAATTTTGTAGATCACTAAATCCTGAAATGAAAATATGGGGAAAGAAGTTGAGAACTAGGTCTTTGTATTCATCCTATAACATGCTCTAATGCCTTCAGTCTCTATCAGCTTTCTATCTTTATTCATAAAACCTGTATAGAAAATGTATGATCTTGACCCTCGTACTCAGCATTATAAAAATACTAGAAGCCCGATGCACAAATTCGTGGAACCCCCTGTGGGGTTCCTCGGCCTGGCCCACAATGGGGGCGATCTTGCACCGTCTGAGGAAGGAACCCCAGGAGTTTGGCTGGCCTTGGGAGCTTGGCTGTGGGAGTGCACTGACCACCAGGGGGCAGCTACTGCGTTGACCGTCTGCCCTCTGGTGGTCAGCGTGTCGTCTTTGCGACCTGTCAACCAGTCATAACCATCGCTTAGACTTTTATATATATATATATATATATATATATATATATATATATATGTATATATAGATGGTATATCAAATATATAATTTTGTTTATATGTATATAAATATTAATAGATGGTAGTAGCTATGATAATAGTAGATAGGATGGAAAAAACCCAGGTATGAGTGATTTTCAGCAGTTGTTGTTTTCCTTTTGGGGTCTCTTGGGAAACTGATCTTTAATATGGTGCTATCCTTATCTTCGGTGACACTTTCCAAGGATTTTAAAGCACAATATGCTGGAAGGAAGAGGGTGAAACTCAGAAGGTCAAATTTAATTCCTGGTTCCATCTCCCACAATTCTGTGGCTTTGAGAAAGCCACCAAAGCTCTACAAGCTTCTGTCTTGCACATGATGAGAAGAGGTGTGAAACTGTCTTATCCAGTGGCTAGAATGTGGAGACGTGACAGTTTTAGCCATGAGGGAACTCACCTGGCTAGCGTCACAGCTGGGAGTCGGCAGAATCTACCCAGGAGCTGAGAGTGTGTGGTCAGTCCATACATGTCCACATGGCCAGCGGAAGAAGGGTCTTTTCATGAGGATCACAGCCGTGATTTGGGGGTGCAAATACAGAAATGCAGCGCGGGTCCTGCTTCCTACTTTTCTTCTCTTTGAACTGCAGGTCCACTTGTCAAGATTGAGCAGGATGGAGCCATCTCTCCAATGATTAAGCCTCTTTTCTGCAAAAGTAATGTGGCCATTTTCCTGAGAGAGGAGCTCTAACCCCGGCTGTCCCAGCTCATGGGAACCCTGCTCAGCATAGTTCCTGGGGGGAGTGGAGGGGTGACGTGAAGTTTGTTTTGCCTGGGGTAAAACAAGAAGACCTACAGGGAATGTTTAACTCTGCGCCAGATGTGGTAGAAAGTGCTTTCTATCCTTGTGCTCATTTGCTCTATGATCTGGTGTCCTCGGTGCTGTGGTCTTCATTTTGCATTTGAGGGAGGTCCAGAGACCTCACCACAGTGAGGCACACTGGGCCTCAGTCTGGCTGCCGCCCCTCAACCCACCTCCTTTTGGCCCCGCGGCAGGAGCGGGGTTCTCTCTGTCCTGACTGTGGGGTGGCGTCTCTGTTCCCTCACTGGACTTCCTTCCGCCGATTCCCACCTCGTTCTCTCTAACTTGGCTTGGGTTCATCATCTGTCATTATTATAGCAGAATGACGCTGGACCTCAGACATATATCTAAGCAGCGGGATATTTTCTGTAGTTTCTCTTTTGACAGTGTTTACATATCTCACCAAGAATGTACTGCCAACATTAGCATATATCAAAAGAAAGGACATTTGCTGAATCTGGCCCTCTGAAACTTTCTATTTTCCATATTTATTTCCTCTGTTTATACCTATATAGTCCCTCCTCTCGCCCCCCACCCCCAAGTAAGAGAGAGCGATGGACTCTCATAACTGTGTGACTTTACAGAAGTCATTTCCTTTAGAGTCGCTTATTCTTGGAGCCTCAGTTTGCTTTGAGTCTCAGTTTCCTGCCTGCAGTGTGTATTTTAAAGTGGTTTTCAACCGTTGAGCGCAATGTAAGATGGGGTCTTTAGTGTGAATGTAGGTTGTGCTACCTTGTGTAGAGTTCTTTTAATTTGGGGAATTTTAATTGTAAACACTCTACTAAATTCATTGAGCATTCTTTGCCTGGGAGAGGTTTTCTTTTCTGGAGAATTACAGGTATGTAAGAACTGGAGGAACGTAGAGTAATTCAGGAGAAAGTGTTTTGTTGCTTGGAAAAGGAATTTTCAACAATAGGAACCAGAATAGGTATTGTTCTGCCAGGAGGGCAGAATGTCCATTCTCTGACTAAAATAACAAGATGAAAGAAGTCATTTTGTTCTTAGGAATGAAGAGGGATACTGATAGGAAACGAAGTTTGTAGTCTTTGACATATAGCTTTGGCATTCGAAAGCTTCCCTCCATCGCTCCCATTTTCTCTGTGGAATTAGTACACTTCGCAAAGGGGAGCATGGGGTTCAGCCCCACGTTCTTTAGCTGACTCAGCCCAGTGTACTAATTCCCACTTTTCAAATAGGGACGATGTGGTCACCAATAAGGGAAGACTATAAAGTGCTATTGGATTTGGGAATGAAGTTTGCTATGAAATGCTATTCTCAGATCTTCTACACTCTTGTGGTAATTGAGTCACCAGCATCATTCCTTCAGGGACTGAAAGGAAGCTCAGTTATTTAAAAAATAATAAAATAGGTAACCAACAAATAAATAGAGCAAGTATCGGAAAGTACTAGCCTGAATATAACAAGCACAAATTGAAAAACAAAAAAGTAAAATTGGATTAAATCATTGACCACTGTATCCCTGCACTTTATGGCTGTATACAATTTATGGGGATGATACACAATTTTTACTTGCCACCTTTGTGGACAGCAGAAAGCTTAGAAACATAAGATTATCCAGATGACAGTCCTCACAGGATTCTGTCCATTTCCCTGATCCCAGAAGCATGGCCAGAGGGGCCGAGTGCCACTGGGCACGCATCCGTCTTGCAGGTCTAGTGGTCGGCAAACTGCAGCTCTCGAGGCACATGTGGCTTTTTGGCCCCTTGAGTGTGGCTCTTTCACAAAATACCATGGCCTGAGCGAGTCTATTTTGAAGAAGTGGCGTTAGAAGAAGTTTAACTTTAAAAAATTTGGCTCTCCAAAGACATTTCAATAGTTGTCCTGTTGCTATTTGGTTCTGTTGACTAATGAGTTTGCCGACCACTGGGCTAGTCGACAGGAAATTCAGAAGAACCACCCAAGAGAAATATATTCATAGGAATTGTTTTGTCTGTTTTCTAATGAGCTTTTCAAAGGGATTGTGCAATTTGGACTTTGTTTTGTTAGTTGGATACGTAGGCTAAAGCTCCCTACACAATCATTACAGTGCGATGTCAAGAGGAATAAAAATACGTCGTTTGTTTGTGTTTTCTCCCCACCCGATCATTGGAATTGCTCTTTGTTGTACCTTCCGACCGGGGAAGGTTGTTTCTTCCCATCGGTGGGTGGTAAATGAATTTGATCCAACAACTTGGGAATGGGGATAGGGGTAAAATTAGCAAGAGCCCTTGAATCCTGGGTCAGAATCCGGCCATACAGAGACACGGGCTCAATTCCCAGCAGCTTCCTGATCCAAAACATCTGTTTCTATATTTGGCATAATTCCATTTTTTTTTCCATTTGTGAAATTGTTCCCATCTTTGAAAAACACTTTAAAAATAAAAGAAGTCCCCATCCTGTCTCCTCTACCCAACCCCCCAACACATGCATCTGTAATGACCTGGTGTCGTCTGTGTGTTTAATCAGCTTCAATGGAGAAGGTTGCCCACATCTGATTTCAATCTGACGGCTGCCTTGAGTCCTGGGCAGTTACCACCGTTGTGTCTGCCAAAATGTGCCTCTGCCAGCAAAGAATACCCTACCCTCACACCAGGGTATATTTTGAAGAAGCCACTTGACTTAGATAGATATTTAATTTCCTTAAAGGCTGTTTTGGATCTGAGTCTCTGTTCTCTAATTGGAATTTTCTGCTGCCATTTAGTAATTTCTAGAATTTGCTGCGTTTGTTCCAGGGTCCACCTGGCATTCTTCTAAAAGTGACTAGACTTCAAGGAAGGAAACTGCACTCCGAGTGCCATGTCAGACCTCATAGCTCCTAAGGGCCAAGCCCACGTTTTTGTATGACTTTACAGGGTCATTTGTACATGCAGATGTGACGGAATTGATTTTGAGGAAGGAGGGCTTCAATTCTTGCAATGAAACCTCGGATCGGAAGTACACATCTTCTGAGTTTCCTGGTTCAATTAAAGTAGAAAAAACAATGAGCTAGTACTGATTGTTCATTGTGATTTTATTTTTTATTCGTGATGTGAACATGTATGTCCTCAGGTATGTTCATTTAAAACACCCCAAATGGACCAGCGTTTGGGATCTTTAGGTTTTTCTGGATTTTATTTTCCCCCTTCATGGGGCCATCATTTCTGAAGAGTAAAAAAAATAAGGATGTAGAGCTGAGCTCTTTCTAGATATTTTAAAGTCAAGTCCTTGAGTTCGTAGGCTATAAGCTCGTGAAACTCCAGGAGGCCCTTGATTTCCTAGCAAAGTTAGGGTGACTGCTGACTATTTCTCAGCATGTGTTGGTGGTAAAGCCACACACATTAGGGTAACAGGCTGACCTTCCACTGGGATATTCAGAGTAGGCTCCTGAGCCCACCTGAAGCCACACAGCCAGCGTGCTTAACGCAAAACAAATGCAGGAGAGGTTTTTAATACCCGTGTATATTAGGACTTAAAAAATGCATTTTAATTGTGACACAGACATTCCTAAAAGTAAAACAACTCTGCAGAAGGTCACACAACTTAAATTCACACTAAAGATCATTACATTGCGCTCAACAGAAGTTTGCTTTGCAAGAAAATAACCAAAACCAAGGAAGATGAGACAAAAGATGCATGCACACGGCTGAGATCCCTTTATAGAGCATTCGCAGTGGGGTTGGTGTTGCCAAAGGAACTGCGGTAGGAAAATTTAAAGTTGGCTTTCTGAGGTTCCGCCTCCTCCGAGGGTGTCTGAGGGACTTTACCTTTTATCTCCTCCCTGGATCTCTCTTCCGTCCCTAATACGCTGTGCTCTGATTCATGATGTGTCTGCTTCGAAATTTAAATCTCAGAGGCAACCTCATTTGAGCTTATTTCACTTCTTGAAAGCACCGACTATGAGCATTGGGCTTGCCAAGGCCTAGGTTTTTCATTTCCTCCACTTTTCTGACTGCACAGAGTCGCTAAGTGAGAAGGATCGCCATCAACTGGAATGCATGGTGTGTGAATAAAATGCCTTATTGTTTATGCAGTTTGAGTATCTCTAGTTTCTCAAAGTCAACTTCAGTATACTCAGACTCATTCAAGTATTTATTGAGCACCTGCTATATATATCAGGCATTGTTCTGGGTGCTTAGAGAATAGCAGAGAACCAGCAAGCCAGGGACCCTGCTCTGCGGGGAGCTGTAGTCCAGGGGACTGTGTGAGTTTGCTTATCAGGTACACCGACCAAGTGCGGTGGGAACACTAACTGCACGGAGAGGTTAGAGGATCTCACTCAATCCCTAGTCTGATAGAGCAGCGAATAGACTGCTCTTCCTTCATTACATCTCTTTGAGTCTAATATGGGGTTCTTGTAGGCCCTTTGTCATTTCTCTTCTCTCTGGAAGGAAGATGCTTCTGCCAAGAGTGACATGTTTGTGTGCGGCCATGGCGGTACTGGTATTAGACGGGAAAATGGAGTAGACACAGCAAACCTAAAAGGGAGGGATCTGACAGGTAAAGCGGAAAGCAGCCCCAGCCAGGGTGTTAGATGTCCTAAGAGTTGTTGGCAGAAACGTTTGGGCAGCCATCATACCAAAACCTGCGTCTCTGTGTGTTTAGCGTACACACACACACACACATGCACCTGGAGTTTCCATTCTTACCACAGAGTTCTCGAAAGTAAGGTGGCAGGCCCTAGCTGGTTTGTCTCAGTGGATGAAGTGTTGGCTTGGTTTGATTCTGGTCAAAGGCGCATGCCGGGATTTCAGGCTCGATTGCCAGTAGGAGGCACGCAGGAGGCAGCTGGACAGTGATTCTCTCTCCTCATTGATGTCTCTCTCTCTCTCTCTCTCTCTCTCTCTCTCTCTCTCTCTCTCTCTCTCTTTCTCTCTCTCTCTCTCTCTCTCTTTCTCTCTCTCTCTCTCTCTCTCTCTTTCTCTCTCCCTCTCCCTTCCTCTCTGAAATCAATAAACATATATTTTAAAAAAGAAAAAGAAAAGGGGGCAGTGCTGCCCAGTACGGTTCCCCAGCCTTTCGTTTGGACAGTGGACTCACTTGGGATTTTGCTTTGTTCTGCCTCCTCCCTTAGAGTTGCTGGAACTGTGGCCGTAAAGCCAGCGAAACCTGCAGCGGCTGCAACACGGCACGGTACTGCGGCTCGTTTTGCCAGCACAAGGACTGGGAAAAGCACCACCACATCTGTGGACAGACCCTGCAGGCCCAGCCGCAGGGGGACACGCCCGCGGTCAGCTCCTCGGTCACGCCCAGCAGCGGCGCCGGGAGCCCGATGGACACGCCACCAGCAGCCACCCCGAGGTCCACCACCCCGGGGACCCCCTCCACCATAGAGACCACCCCTCGCTAGATGTGAACTCCGGACTGTCCAAGGAAACACGACACAACCACCAACCCGAGAAGCCAATCCTCCTCCATCCTCAGATGCTCGAAGTTCTTTTTGTCTGTCTGTCTGTGTGTAGATGAACTCTTCCTATCGCAGTCCTTGAGCAAGAGAGAACCCAACCGATAGTCAAAACAGAGGGCCAGTCACGGGTCATAAGGACTTAACTGTGGATCACAAAGATAATCTCCTCTTTAGAGAACTGAAAAGAGCAGAGAAATATAACACGAAGCGATAGATTTGACCTCCTCCCCGGTATTTGCCAGTAGCTGGGATTTTAAACTAGATGACCTCATTAACCGATGCTTTACCAAACAGCAAACCAAGAGATGGCTCATTGCTGTTGAAAGCAAAAAAAAAAAAAAAAAAAAAAAAAGCTAAGATTAAGACACAGTGTTCCTGATATTCAATAATGGGGGTGGGGGTGGGGAGGTGGGAAAGAGGCAAACCCTCCAGGGCGTGAGCGTTGGCTACAGTGGTAGACGTTTTAACAAGAAGATGAATGGCATCCATGGGTTGCTAACTGAACTCTGAAGACCCGCTACAAAACACACATATGTGCAGCATATTGGAAGGAGAAACAGATGTTCGTTCCCTCCCCATCCCCCACCCCCCAAGTTTCTGAAAAGAAATAATATCCAGGTCAACAGAATGAAAAATGAAAAGATGATTTACAGTGGGATGTATGGATACAGCAGCAAGAAGAAAAAATATGCCCTAATACAAAAGGCTCTTTTACACACACACACACACACACACACACACACA